CACACGGGTCGAAAAAACGTCCGTTTCTGAAATGGGTCGTTTTTCGCATCAAAGTGGCCGCGTCCAGATTTCTGATCACTTGGATGTGGACAACAGCGCCACTGAATGCTTGTTCCTCCACTGTGTATCGTTTGCACCGTTCATCTCCTTTCGAACGGAGCGGCTCTCAGAAACAAAACCATGGAAATTTGCGGCCATTGAGTATTCTATATGTTTTCGGCAACGCTTTAACGTTTTACTATATGTTATTCGACGCACAATCGCTAGGCGTACACGGTGGTATAACCTAAAACATTAACGCACGTATTGTTTTAAAGTTAATTCCAAAAAACGCTCTCAAACGGCGCTCGATGTTGATTTTGCAATTGCTCCACACGGTGTTTACATGCACGGAAACACTTGCCGCTGCACTTAGAAACTAAATGGACCATGCCCTTTCATTCAGAAATGAAAAAATCGCATTTGGTAATTTCCATATTTTTCAGCAAAATGGCACCCCCAAAACTTTCGATCGGCACCCTGTGATCAAAAATGTTTTCAACAAGTGGCAACATCGGTTTAGATCGTTTGCAATTAAAGCACCGTTCAATTTTCATTGGTTTGTTAAATATGAGTTTCAACATTTCACTACCCGAAAAACCACTGCCTTAGAACCAAACATGCATCCAATTTTTACGCGTGCTGGATTGCACATTGGGCCTAATACGGGTCGAAAAACGTCCGTTTCTGAAATGGGCCGTTTTGCGCATCAAAGTTGCCGCGGCCAGATTTGTGATCACTTTCATATTGACAACAGCGCCACTGAATGTTTGTTCTACCACTGTGTATCGTCTTCACCGGCAATCTGCTTTCAAACCGAGCGGCTCTCACAAGCAAAACCATGGATATTTGCGGCCATTAAGAATGCTATATGTTTCCAGCAACACACTAATGTTTTACTATTTGTCATTCGACGCGCAATCGCGCGGCGAACACGACGGTATGACTTTAAACATTAACACACGAATAGTTTTGAAGTCATTTCCAAAGAACGCTCTCAAACTGCACTCCATGTTGATTTTGCAATTGCTGCACAAGCTGTTTGCATGCACAGAAGCATTTGCCGCTGCACTTAGAAACTAAATGGAACATGCCCTTTCATTCAGAAATGAAAAATTTGAGTTTGGAAACATTTTATTTTTTCCACAAAATGGCCCCCTTCCAAAACTTTCGGTCTGCACCCTGTGATCAAAAATGCTGTAAACCAGTGGCAACATCGGCTTACATCGCTTGCAAGTTATAGCTCCCTTCGATTTTTATTGGTTCGTTAGGTATGAGTTCGGAACATTTTAATACCCGAAAAACGGCTGTTTTCAATCTCAACATGCATCCAAATTGTACGCGTGCTCCATTTCACATTGGCCGTCATGCGGGTCGAAAAACATCCGTTTCTGAAATGGGCTGTTCTTCGCATCAAAGTGGCTGCGGCCAGATTTGTGATCACTTGCATGTTGACAACCCTGCCACTGAATGCTTGTTCCACCACTGTGTATCGTCTCCACCGGCAATCTGCTTTCAAACGGAGCGTCTCTCAGAAACAAAACCATATTAATTTGCAGACATCATGAATGCTATTTGTTTCCAGCAACGCACTAAGGTTTCACTATATGTCATTCGACGCGCAATAGTGCGGCTAACACAATGGTATGAGTTAAAACATTAACGCACGTACAGTTTTGAAGGTATTTCCATAAAACCCTCTAAAACGGCGCTCGATGTTTGTTTTGAAATAGCTGCACAAGCTGTTTGCATGCACAGAAACACTTGTCGCTTCACTTACACACTAAATGGACCATGCCCTTTCGTTCAGAACTGTAAAAGTCGCGTTTGGATAATTCTTATTTTTTCAAGAAAATGCCAGCCCCAATTTTTCGGTGGGCACCCGATGATCAAAAATGTTGTCAACAAGTGGAAACATCGGTTTACATCGTTTGAAAGTTCAAGCACCCTTCGAATTTAATTGGTTCGTTGGCTATGTGTTTGGGACATTTCACTTCCTGAAAACCGCTGTTTTCGATCTCAACATGCATCCAATTTGTACCCGTGCTGGATGTCATATTGGCCCTCATACGGGTCCAAAAAACGTCCGTTTTTCAAATGGGCCGTTTTTTGCATCAATGTCTCCTCGGCCAGATTTGTGATCACTTGCATGTTGACAATACCGCCACTGAATTCTTGTTCCACCACTGTGTATCGTCTCCACAGGCATCCGGCTTCTAGACGGAGCGGCTCTCATAATCAAAACCATGGAAATTTGCGGCCATCAAGAATGCTATATGTTTCCAGCAACGTACTAATGTTTTACTATATGTCATTCGACGCGCAATCCCGCGGCGAACACGATGGTATAACTTCAAACATTCACACACGCATAGTCTTGAAGTTACTTCCACAAACTGCTCTCAAACGGCGCTCGATGCTAAATTTGCATTTGCAGCACAAGCTGTTTGCATGCACAGAAACACTTGCCGCTGCACTTATAGACTAAATGGACCATGCCCTTTCATACAGGAATGAAATAATCGCGTTTGGAAAATTTTCATATTTTCCCCAAAATGGCCCCTCCCCCAAAAATTTTCTGTCGGCACCCGGTGATCAAAAATGTTGTCAACAAGTGGTGTCGTTGGTTTACATCATTTGAAAGTGAAAACACCCTTCCATTATCATTGCTTCGTTGGATATGAGTTTGGAACATTTTACTACCCGAAAAGCGGCTGTTTTCAATCTGAACATGCATCTAATTTGTACGCGTGCTGTATTTTACATTGGCCCTCATACGGGTCGAAAAAACGTCCGTTTCTGAAATGGGCCGTTTTTCGCATCAATGTGGCCGCAACCAGATTTGTGATCACTTGCATGTTGATAACTAAACTAAAAACTTAATGCTTGTTCCACCACTGTGTTTCGTCTACACCGGCAATACGCTTTCAAACGGAGCGGCTCTCAGAACCAAAACCATGGAAGTGTGCGGCCATCAAGATTGCTATATGTTTCTAGCAAGGCACTAATGTTTTACTATATGTCATTCGGCGCGCAATCGTGCTGCGAACACGATGGTTGAGCTTAAAACATTAACGCACGTATAGTTTTGAAGTTATTTCCAAAAAACCCTCTCAGGCGGCGCTCGTTGTTGATTTTGCAATTGCTGCACAAGCTGTTTGCATGCACAGAAACACTTCCCGCTGAACTTACACCGTAAATGCACGATGCCCTTTTATTCAGAAATGAAAAAGTCGCGCTTGGAAACTTTTCATTTTTTCGACAATATGGCTCCGACAAAAAAAGATTCCTTCGGCACCCGGTGATCCAAAGCATCGGTTTACATCGTTTACAAGTTAAAGCACTCTTTGATCTTCATTGGTTCGTTAGGCATGAGTTTAAAACATTTCACTACCCGAAAAAAAAACGCTCTCAAACGGCGCTCGATGTTTAGTTTGCAATTACTGCACAAGCTGTTTGCATGCACAGACACACTTGCCGGTGCACTTGCACACTAAATGGGCCATGCCCGTTCATTCATAAATGTAAAAATCGCGTTTGGAAAATTTTAATTTTTTCGGCAAAATGGCCCCCCCCCTGAAAATTTTTGGTCGGCACCCGGTGATCAAAAATGTTGTCAACAAGTGGTAACATCGGTTTACATCGTTTGCAAATTAAAACACCCTTCTATTTTCATTGGTTCGTTGATATGAATTTGGGACATTTCACTACCCGAAAAACGGCTGTTTTCAATCTGAACGTGCATTCAATTTGTATGCGTGCTGGATTTCATTTTAGCCCTCGTACGGGTCGAAGAAATGTTCGTTTCTGAAATGGGCCGTTTTTCGCATCAAAGTGGCCGCGGCCAGATTTGTGATCACTTGCCTGTTGAGAACAGCGCCACTGAATGCTCGTTCCACCACTGTGTATCGACTGCACCGGCAATCTGCTTTCAAACGGAGCGGCTCTCAAAAACAAAACCTTGGAAATTTGCGGCCGTCAAGAATATATTTGTTTCCAGGAACGCACTAATGTTTTACTATATGTCATTCGACACGCAATCGCGCGGCGAACACGATGGTATAACTTAAAATATTAACGCACGTATAGTTTTGAAGTTATTTCCAAAAAACGCTCTCAAACGGCGCTCGATGTTGATTTTGCAATTGCTGCACAAGCTGTTTGTATGCACAGAAACACTGCCGCTGCACTTTTCAAGCGACTGGGGGATGAAGTTCCCCGTCGCGGGGGAAAAGATGGGGAAGGGGAGGGAGGGGGGGAAGAGGCGAGTTTCAGACCGCCGCCGGTAGGCGGCTGGCTGCGTCGGCCGGTAAACGACGCCGACGCAACGCAGCCGTCAGCCGGCCGACAAGAGGGCGTTTACGTGCGGGGCGCGATGAAGGCGTGAACGATCAGTGCGCACACCAAGTACCAACATTTGCTGATGCAGCAATGACATTGCCATTTAAACTGTGCTTCCGTGCGTCATGGCACGCTGGACACTGCAGAGATGTCAACAAAAAGACCAACATTCGACTTCACCAACTTTATTTTGGCGAAAGTGTTTGGCAAAGTCATGACAAAACACATACATCACTTCCCGCCTTTGCGCGACGCCTCCGCCCGCCGCTCCGCCAGCCATTCGGCCGCCGTCAGCCGCTGCAGGGGGTTGTGCGGGCAGAACCGCTGCCCGCGAAACTGTGTGTGACCGGCGTTGGTCATGGGCCGCCCACACACCCTGCAGCGGTAGACATTGCGCTGGCGGGGCGGAGGAGGCGGCGGCGGCGCATCACCGGCGGCAACGGCGGCCGCCGCGGTAGCCCCGCGCCGGCGACGCCACTGGGTGGTGCAGGAAACCGGGCGGGGCTGCACCTGCGGTGGCTCACCGATGCCCCCGGCCGCTGCTGGGCCGGGCGCCGCGGCCGCCGGTGCTGGCGCGGCGCTGACGAGCCGCTGGAGGGCGGCTAGGTCGGCAGCGGCGCCTAGGAGGCGCTGGAGGGCGGCTGCGTCACCGGCAACGTACGGCAGCACCACGACAACTGGCGGTGCTGTCGGCGCGGCAGGAGGTGGCGGCGCCGGCGAGCTGGCCGGGCGGCGCACCGACGCCTCGCCAACGGTGTCGGCTGGCTCCGGCAGCTGCACGGCCGGATGCTGGCGTGGGGGAGGCGTGACCGGACGCGTCGCTGCTGCGGGTAGGTGTCCTGCCGCCAAGGGTCGCTCGGCAGGCAGGTCCCGGCCCTGCAGCAGCGTGCGGACCTCGTCCAGACGCGTCCGGTCCTTGAACCTGCCAAAGACGACGAACAGCGCGTCACTCACATGAGTTGCGTCAGGATGCGTGCGGCCTTTGTGCCTTCGACAAACGACAGAGCATCAACCAATCAATCACTCTCAGGTGGCAAGACGGCAGATATTAGGCACAGTCACTGGCGTTGTCAGGAGGACGCGAGCTGGTATCACTTGAAAAAAACACACTCGCGCCAGGTACTCACCACTTGCCGAGCGTGCTCTCGTTGAGAGGGTACAGCTGGATGCCGGTACCCTCCAGGAGCGCTCGGCTGTTGTGCAGCCTCCCCCGCACCCGGTCGTACGCCGCCAGGATAAGGCGCCGGCGCGACACCTGGCGAGGCTGGTTGGCGGTGGGCCGCCGCGGTCCCGGGTACTCCTGGAGCAGGCGCAGACAAAGCGCCTCCACCAGACGTGACCGGGACGGTGGCAGAGCCCGGCCTCCCGACATGCGCCGAGGCACAGCCGGGAACTGGAGCGGGCGCCTGTCAACGTCGTGCTGGGCCAGCCAGAGTTGGCGGATGCGTGCCGCCTGGCTGGCCGTCACCGACAGGCCCTTCAGCTCCAGCAGAGCCTCGGCCAGCCGGTCCACCCTGTCCCAGCCGGGGACGCCGCGGTGGTCCACCGCCGGGTCGACATCCGCCTGAGGAGCGGGCATAGTTGTCAAGGTCAGGCACGCAGCGCCGACAACCATCGGCAAACGAGCTGGAGCGCGCCAAGATGTGACGACAGGAACGCGCGCAGACGGGCGCCGGAGGTCACTGAGACGAAGCACTGGCGTGCCGTACCTGCACGGCACCTTCGCCGTCCGAGTCGCCCGAGCTGTCGGAGGTGGCGTCGTCCAGGTCGGCGGGCCGGGCGACGGTGGCCACCTCCACGCCGGCCAGCGACATGTCGGAAAGGGCGGGCTCCTCACAGCCTTCGTCGACGTCCTCGCAGGCGTCGTTGAGGGCCCGCTCTGCCTCGTCTGACCCGTCGTCGGCCGGCAGCACGGGCCCGGACTGCGCGTGCAGGTACTCGACCCCGATGCGCTCACCTGCGAAATGGGACATCGTTATGGCACGTGAGGCAAGCACAGACGGGACGGAGCCGTGGATGATGCGACATGCTGGCAGTGGCATAAAGCCCACCTGGCCGTGCTTGCTCCTTTCTCACCTGTGTACTCGCCAGGTGGCCGGTACCGGGGGAACACCTGTCGCAGTCCGAGGCCCGTGCACGGCTCGGTGACACGGTGCTGCAGGCGGACGTCGAACGTCCGCAGCTGCTGCGCGCCGTCGTCTCCATCGAGGGCGTCCGCCGCCCTCGCCGCGTTCCAGCGCGCCAGGCCGTCCACCAGGTACTCCTGGAAGTGGACGGCGTTGGCCGACGTGCCTGCAACAAAACCAAGTACCCATGTGTGGAACGCCACCAAGAAGCGGACCGTCACACAACGTTGTGAACAGGCGCACGACCACACCATACGGCTGACGACACTGACATGCTGCAGAGGACCAGCCATCTCACCTGGGATGAAGCGGGCCAGGTGCAGGTGGAAGCTCTCGAGGGAGGTCGTGCCGCGTGCGCACCGGTACACCGGCAGGCGGACGCCGCCCTTCTGCAGGCACCCGGTCTGGGTGTAGAGAGTTACACCCTCCGGATCCTGAAGGCAGGCGACGTGGCTCCTCTGCTCTTGCCAGATGGCCTGGATCTCCGGCTTGAGCAGGGGCACCCCGCGCGTGTCGGTGGCGGTGGCCAGCTCCAGGAGGAGCTGCTCGATGAGCTGCGCCGACCGCAGAGCGCCCTGGGTGCGGCGCCGGCAGTGGCGAGCGAGCTCCTCCCTGCTGACCGCCTGCCGCACGGCCTCCTCCGGTGGCTCCTCCACGCCGCCAGCCACCAGCTCGGCCCGCTTGGCGGCGTGCAGGCGGGCGACGTCGCCGGCGTCCCACTCGAAGAGGCACGCCGACAGCCGGGACATGAACGTGCCGTACAGCGGATGGCACTCGCTGGTGACGCCGAGGGCGAAGCGCCGTATGAAGTGCCGGACGTCCAGACGGACGATCAGGCCACTCCACGCGGCAAACAAGCCCTGGAGGCGAGACTTGTCGCCCCCGGCGCTGCAGCAGTCCCGGTCCGTGTACAGCACGGTCGGGTCCGGCTCGCCGGCGCGCCGGTAGCGGGACGCCAGGCCGTCAGCCATGTGCTGCAGTGTGTCGGCCGCCTCCGACGTGGTGAGGACACACTGCAGCACCTCGCCCCTCTCGTTCCCCACGCTGGTGACCCAGCTGGCGGTGCCGGCAGCGTCTCCCCGGAGCCTCAACGTCACCTGGCGACACGCACGGCACGCTTACACACACAAACACACACACACACACACACACACACACACACACACACACACACACACACACACACACACACACACACACACACACACACACACACACACACACACACACACACACACACACACACACACACACATTGCAGACTGGCCGTCACATACAGGTCACACCGCGTGGAAAGAACCCGAAAGGCCTGGCACGTGACACAAGCCGCTGTCTTACCTTCTTCGTCGAGACAATCTTCAGGATCGACCCGTACGTCGAGGTGACGGAGGCTCGAAGGACGGGGAGACGTTGCCACACGTCCCTGACGTGGCACGCCAGGAACCACCCTGGCTGAGGCGGGGCGCGGAAGGCGGGCGGCTCGGCGTGCGCCACCGCCGGCTGATGCATGGCCTCCCGGCCGAGCCTGCCGAGCAAGCAGAGTTAACAGGTTAAACACGGAAGCAAACACTGACAGCAGCTGACAAACATCGCTGACATGCACTTTGCTCACATTAGACCACCAGCGACATAGCGCGCACCAAGCGGCCGGCACCCCACGCCGAGCGGGTACTTTACAAGAATCACACTTACTTGTGGCGCTGGCAGTCCGCCAGGTAGGCCAGCAGGCGCAGCGACCACTCCTGGCTGTGGACCTCAGCCACGTTCTGCCGTAACGCCGTCGGACTGTTCCCCAGGGTGCGGGCCCGCAGCATGGTGATGACGGCTCGGTCACATGCGAGTTTGTGCGTCAACACCGCTGGGAACCGCCCCCGGAGCCCGTCCGACAGCTGTTTCAGCAGCCGGGCGTCGTAGGCGATGTAGGTGCCTACGCACGCCGGGCAGTAGTGGTACTCAGCCGCCAGGTAGTACCAGTCTGAGGCGTCGACCACATGGCGAACCTTGTGGTAGACGCCCTTCGACCGGAGCGACCTGGAGAGCACAGAGTGGCCGTGTCATTCGTGCCCGACGGAGCTGCCGCAAACAGGCACACACGCATGCGACACACACATCGGCCACAATATCCAAAGCCGGCGACTGCACACATTATCCACCACTGAAAGAGTTCGACTGGCAGATGGCTTTGTCTCGCAACGCCCCCTATGTTGCAAGCCGCTTACCTGACGGGTGAGCACCGAGGACACTTGAGGTCCACATGCCACATCTTCCTGGGCATCCACAGGAAGAGGCGGCGCGTAAAGTAGCCACCAGGAGTGGGCTGGGTGCGGCACAGCGGCGCGCTGCTGGCCGGCGGATGGTGCCACAGCTCGGCGGTCGGGCGCAGCATGTGGGGTGCCGTAAACAGGCGCTCGCCGATCCAGGCCTGGTCGGCGAGCGCGACACCCTGCCGCCAACCGGTCGGCAAGTTGTCCTCCGGACAGCGTGAGTACAGGAGCTGCGGCTGGGGCTCGGCAGTGATGGTCTCCACCTGCCGGAAAGGTTCATCGTTGAGTACGTGTACACGCGTGTGCGGTGCTCGTATACACAACGTGACAACAACACTACAGGCCCAGTCATATCTCCATGGCAATACTTACCAGGGCCGCAGGCAGCTGCTGAGCGACCTGTCCCGAGGACGCCGCTCCTGCCGGCGCGGCGGCACTGGGGCCGGCGGCACTGGGGCCGACGGCACTGGAGCCGACGGCACTGGGGCCGGCGGCACTGGGGCCGGCGGCACTGGGGCCGACGGCACTGGAGCCGACGGCACTGGGGCCGGCGGCACTGGGGCCGGCGGCACTGGGGCCGACGGCACTGGAGCCGACGGCACTGGAGCCGGCGGCACTGGGGCCGGCGGCACTGGGGCCGACGGCACTGGAGCCGACGGCACTGGAGCCGGCGGCACTGGGGCCGGCGGCGCTGGGGCCGGCGGCACTGGGGCCGCCGGCACTGGAGCCGGCGGCGCTGGGGCCGGCGGCACCGGGGCCGGCGGCACTGGGGCCGGCGGCGCTGGGGCCGGCGGCGCTGGGGCCGGCGGCACTGGGGCCGGCGGCACCGGGGCCGGCGGCACTGGGGCCGGCGGCGCTGGGGCCGGCGGCACTGGGGCCGGCGGCACCGGGGCCGGCGGCACTGGGGCCGGCGGCGCTGGGGCCGGCGGCGCTGGGGCCGGCGGCACCGGCGGCGCTGGGATCGCCCGCCGCCCAGTCAGACGGAAGCGCACCGCCGGAAGGGGCAGGACGACCAGTCGCACCACCCACGTCCTGAAACAGTGCCGACATTACAATGGGCAGCAATGCCGATCATTTCCCAACACACATGGAACACGCATCGATTGTGAGCACTCATCAACGTCGAGTCAGCTCGACGACAGAATGTGCGCTTGAGCCAGATGCGCGACATGGCACAGCTTACCCGGTGGTAGGAGCAGGTGCACGCGACTGGTCGGTTCAGGGGATCCCGCCGGGCGCCAGAGGTCCTTGGACACGTCTGGATGGCTTGGATAGCCCCTGCCCAGCGGGAACCCCTGCCTGGGTGCTGCCCCCTGCCGAGGCGCTCCCCCGCGGCAACGCGAGACAGAATGGCCCGCCACTCCGCATCAGACTTTTCAAGCTTCGGCATCCTGCAACAGCGTCCGACTCCGACTGACCAAGGGGGAATACTGTCTGCTATAGGGCCCGCGTGGTACACCATGCCCCGCGCCCTCCCCTCCCACCTCGCGACAAACACCATAAACCGCGCGTACCCCTGGCGGCGACAACCATAAACGTTATTGGCACATGGCAGCCATACACCACTGATCCCTTCCCACGAGAAGCACGCGGTCCTCCGTCCAGAACACGACCGCACCATCGATATCGAGAGATATTCATGTAACACCTACGTAATGACATCCTGCAACCAGCTTCTGCCTGTCATTGATTGCACGTCTTGTAATCGGTGATCACATGAAGTCTCGGCCGGATCCCCCCCACATGTAAAGTAGAACTGCCGCACGCAACGCCGACAGGGAGACTCGCCCTACGCCCCCCGAGGAGCAGCACCTCTTATCCTCCTCCCAAGCCACCCGCAACAAGATCGGCGTGCGACTCGCCGGCGCCACCGCGTCCCACCCCATCGGCGTGTCCACGGGCTAACGCACTGCCCCCGAGCCGTGACCGTTTCCCTCACTGGGACATGAAACATTGCCCCACTCGGCTTACATGCTGACACTGTCCTGGGGCATGATCTATTGCTACACACCTTGACCGCATTCACCCGACACTTAGTGGATTTGGAAATGGTATAACACATGGGTTACCCTCTTACCTTGCAGAGAAGTGACCTGCGCCTCTTATGCCGCGTCGCTTCGAATTGGCGTCTTTTTCATGTTTCCGAGGCCGCGTTTCATTTCAACTACTGTGTTATTGGTAGACGAACACAAGCCCCGCCCACTCGGATGCTAGGCTGTTTCATACCAGCTACTGACTACCGGAGAGCGTTACATTAGCTGCGCAGTTGTGACCATCAAATTTGGGAAGAAAAATAAGTTTGTGAGTGGGCGGCAGCGCGACCGCGGTCAAAAAGCTGTTAGGTGAAGGTATAAGTAACGGGAAAGATCTTGTGTGCTTGTCATCCATACCTCAAAAACATACACGGGAATGGAAGCATTTACGTTTGACGAATTACAGAGAGAAATTGCCCCAGTGGCTCCATTAGGCGACGACCCACTTGAAGTCGTCCATTACCGCGATCTTGATGGGTGAGTTGCATCAGACATGATAAATGATAATGCTAGGGGTGCAGTTTCGGAAAATGCTTTCCCACTTTACATCAAACTTGAGGGGAGATGAAGCCCAAGTTGGGGGTGGGTGGGCTGAACCCCCCCCCCTCCCCCCAGCTGAATAGGAACTACACCCTTGAATTAGGATTTGATCAACTCTAAGCCATGCATTTTTACTGCTCTGGACAAGCTTGCATGATAACATTGGGTGATGAGAATGTCCATTGGCTTTTGCCTAAAATATTGAACATCGTGTTTTTGTTGGTGATACCTTCCTGATGCTTTCCTGGCATGTGTCTGCAGACCTTACCTGTTCCTGCTGGTGTTAATTTTCCAATCTAATAATACTCCACATGCTGCAGGGAAGTTTGGGACCGAAGGAGATTGGAAAAAAATGAAGACTTATGAAAAAACAGTGCCACTACTAACGGACGAGCAGTGCGCTGAACAGTTCAGATTGAAGAGGGGCACGGTCGGGAGGATTGTTGGACTCTTGGGGGAAAGGGATGAGAATCCCTCTGGACAGGGGAGGGAACCTTATCCCAGAGAGAAACAAGTACTCCTCACTCTTTGGTACCTGGGAAGCATCATCAGCTTCAGAAAAGTGGCAATGCTCTTTGGTTTGGCAACATGCACTGCTTGGAGGTTTGTGGATGAAGTTATTGAAGACCTGGTCACAATGAGGGATTTGTTCATCAACATACCTCCTTTGGAAAGCATGGCACAAGTGATGGAGGGGTTCAGGTCGCTGAAGGGGGTCCCCAATGTGTGTGGTGCTCTGGATGGGTGTCATGTAGGAATACTACAGCCCCATAATCATCCTGAGGCATACATCAACAGAAAGGGCTTCTTCTCAGTTAATCTGATGGCCCTCTGTGATTCATCCCACAAGTTCATGGACATCTGTGTGGTGTGGCCAGGGTCAGTTCATGACTCACGTGTGTTTAGAAAGAGTACCCTGGGTAAGAGGCTGGCAGACCCCACCACTAGACATGCAATCCTGCCACAAAATGGTTTCATTGTTGGTGATTCTGCTTTTGAACTACAGAGTTGGCTCATGACACCAATTCGGGAAAATCAACTGGCAGAAAATAGGGAAAAGAAAAAGAAGTACAACTCTCTGATCTCAAGCACACGTTTGGTTGTGGAGAAAACCTTTGGCATTCTGAAGGCAAGATTTCGGCGTCTCTCCTGTGTGGAAGCTCAGTCAGTTCAGAAAGTTGCGAAGCTCATAGTGGCAGCCTGCGTACTTCACAACATTTCACTTCAGGAGCATGACTTTTGGAAGGAGGATGGTGAAAATGAGGTCACTGAAGGCGTATATGCCGATGAAGAGATGCGACTGAGAGCTGGAGTACTGCGGGAGCATACAAATCCGGTACTCGTTGAACCATCCGCTGTCGTGGTGCGTAAAGAGCTAGTGGAAAGGCTTTGGGTGCTGTAGCAAGGCTGGTGGTGCTGCTGGATGATCACTGGCTGTGTTGCAGTGTCTATGGTATTTTCGTTGTGGTGTTCGCTGTAGGTCAGCATGATGTAGATTTTGCAATGCTGTGGAGGTCTGAAGGGCAGTGAACAAAGTGTTTTTTGCTGGCAGGAAATACAACATTTTTGTGATCTATGTGCATTCCAAAAGTCCGTACAGCAGTGACTGAAACTGCTTCCAAGTGAAATGTTACAATGGGAACAGGAGTCATCCAGAGACAGGTTGTCATCAAGACCCAAGCTTAAAAAAATAATGTCCCGCTAAATCCCTAGTAGTCCCCACATTAACTAAAAGATCCAAAGCACTAACGCCATGTCGCCTGCCCCGCGCGCCGCCATGTTTGTGGATGCCCCGCCGACTATCGAGATGTTAAAAGGTTTTGCCAGTCCAGTAGTCGACAAGTGTGACGTCACACCCTTCACGTCACGAATCCATCATGGCCGCCCGACCAATCATAGAACAGGATTTCGACTATTGGTAGTACGATAGTTAAAATGAAACGCGCCCCAAGTAACCTTGAACACTCTGAGCAAGACCGTGCGTCCTGGTCTCTGGCGCCTCCAGCCTGGAGATCCGTCGTCACGTTGCAACAATGCTATACAACTTGAGACGCTGGCAGTCCGCCAGGAACGCCAGCTGTCACAGCGACCACGACTTCCATCGCAATGTAATCCAGCCTTACCCATCGCAATGCTTACCGGAGCCGCAGGCAGAGATGCTGAGGATGCTGTGGGTTCTGCGATGATGATAATGATGTAGGATACTTGAGTTCAAGACACTGATTTTCACCATGAAACTGGATCTTGAATGGGAGGAAACAGGAACACGTCTCTATCATCATACTCCATGCTACGGTATTGGCATCGGACTCCCCAGCGTGCTGCGACGCCTTCCCAGACTGCTGCCACATGTTCGGACTGTTTGGGCGCCGGAAAGCTGGGAGATATGAACAGCACTGACAGCAAAACCGTTCAAGAAGACAACATTCATGGCGCAAAGCAAGCTTCTGCCACGTGCACGAAAAAAACACGAGGTTTTCGCCACACAGGTCCCGGCTGTTACGCGATCGCTGATTGGTCGACCGGACTGACACCTGTGAGAAAACCGGTGATTTGTCAGTGGGGGAAAAACTGGATGGTGATTGGCAGATGCCAGGTTCCAAATTGTTCCAAGTTGTTTCATTCGTGTTCCAATTTGTTCCAATTTGTTTCATTTCTGTTTCATATTGACGGAGACCTCCCAACAGACCGACAGACAGTAGATCATTGTCAAACTTCCCTTAGGCGTACAGGGAGAAAACCGAGAACATTAGGCACGCCCCGTTTAACAATAGCCAGGCTTCATTACATTACTGAGGGGCGAATCCATCCTTTACACGCAGTATTCAGGCGACATCGGAGAGGTGGCGTGAATAATTTGATATTCGGCGATGCATTTTTTTTTCTGAAACGTCCTCATGCGAGTGCTTTGCATGCGAACAACCAATGCTGCGTCACTGATGCTTAGCAATTTTTACGTGCGTGGTTTTGTCAAGCAAGCTTGTGTTGCCAGCATTAACGTACTCAAGATTGTTTGAGATAAATTTTGGATTTGACTTAACGCATGCAAACCCTTTGCCTAGGAGCTTTTGCCTCCCCGTCAACGTTTTGCCATAACGAATATTTTCCAAGCGTTCTTTAAGCCATACAAACATTTGCTTACGAGGTCTTTGGTACTACCCTTTTCGCACATTATTTTACCAACCGCACTTTGCATCACACGTATCACGCACATTTGTTGGGTGAGATTCCACAAGCTCTTTTTCCAAGCGCATTTTTGTCCTAAAATCTTTGTCTTCGCGGTGATCGATAACAGGTTTTCAACGCTAGTGTTGCCTGCAACAGCAGCATACGACTGGCGGTCAGTGCCTGCTAGTTCGTACTGTTGTGGCTTGATTCGAAACTAATGCAATTAAGGTATGATTTCAACCTGGAGCTGAGCAGCACTGCTCTTTGTATACATGCTGTTGAGCACTGGGACTCCCTCACAAGCAAGTGATGTTCCTTGCACGAACCACGGGAGTGGCAGACGGCGCCGCTCGCTGACGCCACACCGGCGACGCCGGCAGTCAGCCTGTCCAGACCCGCCTTCCCATCGGTTGCATCCCGCCGTGCCTGACGCCGCCGGAACTTGCCCTCTCTTCTGCCAACGCTGACCCACCCCGTGCCCCTTCTTGGTCGCAGGAGCGAGGGAAGTTGTCAAGAATGGGAGAGGGGGTCAGAGGCATTTGAGTCGTTTCTTTCCATGTACCACCGCAAGCCTAGTGCTGAATTATCTCAATTGTTGGGAAGTGGACTCTATCCCCCAAGGTCCTCCCCCCCCCAATAACGCGATCGTTCCCTCGCCTATGCTTGGTCATACCGTCCCCGCCCGGCGTCCCGGTTGTTATGCTGGCGGCCGGGGGTTGTTTGGCCCGTCCCGTCGCGGAGGGATGGCTGCACCCCCCACCCCCAGACAAGTTGGCGCATGGGGAGGACGGCTCCTGGAAGTGTTTTGGTGAGCCAGCTGGGCGCATCGGTGAGTGTACATTGTGCAATATCATTTCCGTTTCGTGCATTGTGCTGTCGTGTGGCAGGACTCTTTTTTATTGATTTGTTGTTTTTGATACGACCGGTCCACTCGCAGGGCAGCGCCATGTTGCTTGGAGGGCGAAAATCCCTCCAATACCGTGCATCCTTGGCCACTTAGTGACGTGGAAACCCTTCCTGCAGTAAAAGGAGCCTCAATTAAAAAAGTCGGTTCCAGTCATTGTGTACAGCGTCATATAAGGCTTATTTATGTATGGGTAAGAAATCTCCCTTCCCTCACTGAAAAAGGCTTTAGACGAGGTCCTGGACCTGCATAACTTTTTATTGTGCAACAATACATTTGCGATATCTCTCGACCGTTTATTCTGATGTACTTGCTTGCAATATGCGAACGATGCGTTGTTGGTGTTTTCAGCTTGCGGCCTTTTTTGCGTATTTTCTCCGGCAGGATGAAGCTCGCTGTTGCGGACATTGGTGGCAGCGGGATGGACATCAACTTCAACCCTTCGTTGGCTGGGGAGGTGCTCCGCTGTTGAAGTGATGAGCTGCTGCTGAGAACGCAGCTACTCTGCTCTGGATGGCTGTTTGAGGAGTGCTGCTGGCCGCCCGGAAGCATTTTGTCTGCCAGCAAGCTGGCACAGCAATCAGAGGCTTCTGTCGGTCATCTGGTGCTGCTCCAGAATCATCATTTTTAGGAAAGTAGGCATTGTACCATATGGGCTGGTAATGTTCAGTTCGTGCTTCACGAACAATTCTGCCAAAATCTACGGCGATGATTTCCTTGCCACGATTATTGGTAATTCCATACGATGGACATGGCAAATACTTATTAAGTGCACCTATTCATCCTTGACTGGTTTCGTTGCCATCAGCCACAATCCATCCATTTCGGGGGCAAACAGCGAGTGTCTAAAACGACCCATACTCAGCCCTTAATGAGTCAAGTGGATCGGAAACCAACCGCTTTAGAACAAGAAATTACTATCGAGATAATATCGTATTCTCACATCGACCGATGACAGCTACTATGCTCCAGTCTGTCTGATCATGACAATGATAAGCTTGTTAGCATCGTCCTGGTGAAATAAACTACAACGCTTCAGTTACTTTTTATGAATTTGATACGAACCCCTTGAATGGATGAATTGCTGGGATCAGCGCTCACGCTTAGCGGTGCTTGTTGTGTGAGCCCTGACCTCCACCACCCGATCGTGCAATTCCAGACGACAGAATTTAGTGGCGAAAGCTTAACGTGCCGCAATGCTCGGCACGGTCCGTCCTGCCCTCTGACGTCAACTGACCTTTAACGCGACCGCTGCCACCGCCCGCAAGCCATACATGTCAAGGGCATATAGCGAGCGCCCTAAAGTGACTCGAACCGACCCTGCCGGGGGTGGGTGGAGCGGAAGGCGGGCCTCTAACCAACTGAGCCACCGGGACAGACTTTTTCTCATGAAATATAAACGTTTTGATTGATTACACTCATAAATGGCACCACTGATCGTTTGATGTCATTATTGGGACCGTATGAAGACTAAGTCATGTCTGCTTTCAGGCAAGTACTCCATGCAAGAGGCCTCACGTAAACGTTTCCCATACAAGTACCCCGAGAAAGTGCGTGTATAGTGCATTCCGGCACTGCTATTCAGCATAGCTGCGTTCGTTATTATCAACCTCGGCAAATGACTTGCTATAAAATCAGTTCTTTTTAGTAGTAAACCCTGTTTACATGAAAAATCATCGTCGCTCACGTTGTGGAGCAGTAATCTGAGGAACCAAATATCGCCATTTTCAGGGGCCATCCTGTGCAGCACACCGCGCTACGGTGTCTCCCGCAACAAAACGAAATAGGTATCAGGAAAATGGTTTGCGCTGGATAGACTGCGACGACGGCACGAAACACCGCGCTGACGACTGCAACAACGGCAACGCATAGCATTCGTCGAATGGGTTGGTGATTATTGCATTGGGCATGATAACAAAAGAGTTAATATTTTGTGCAATGGGCGACTCTGGACATGGCGTCCGACAACCTGCATTTGCGTTGCGGCAAGTTGGCGGCAAGCGACAAGCAGGTGAAGCGCGGTCAATGGGTCACAGCATTGACCGCAAGGCGGTCTGTCGCCAGCCAATGCTATGGCGGTGTGTAACATATGTGTCATATGCGTTGTTGGCATAGGACAAGTTCCTTCCTCGTATTGTTGCGGAAACACGACTGCAACTTCCGATACGGGGTTTCACTGAGTTCATCCCCCCCCCCCCGCTTGGCTTCAAGCCACGACGAACTTCGAGAAGAGAGGTCCAAATCCGGAGAAAAAATCGTTTGTTGGTGTTTTTTCGTGGTAGGTTGAGTCATTTTTTGCTGTTCGGGCCCTCTTCGCAATTCATTTTGCGAAACCACGGCCGCTGTGCGCGTTGAGTACCCTGCTTGAGAGCCGGCGATGGTTTGACGGTTCTATTTGACCGATCGGAATGTTCCAATATACGGTCCCATCCTAGCACTCACCGAGGGATGGCAGCACGATGATGTTCGGTAGACTTTAGTAGACTGCACATCGCCCAGTTGTGCGGGTCAGAATCGTGTGCGACAAACCCACTGCAGTCAGCTGATTTAGGAGTTACGAACATTAGGGGTTATGATACACTAGGTCTTACGATACATTAGGTGTTATGATATATTAGGAGTTGTGTTACATTAGAGGCTACGAGCATTAGGGATTACAATACGTTAGGCCATATGACACATTGGGAGTTACGATGCATTAGGAGTTGCGATACATTAGGTGTTGTGATACATTAGGGGTTCGATACCTTAGGGGTTATGACACATCAAGTGTTACGTACATTACTCGTTATGAAGCACTAGCGGTTTTGATACATTAGGCGTTGCGATACATTAGTGGTTACAAACATCACGGGTTTCGGTACTGACCCGACAGCTCGCCCCGGAGACGAGGAGGCGGCCGAAATGAGGGTGACAGCGTGCGTCACTGTTCCGGCGGCGCCGGCCATAAACGCCAGCCGGTACCCATCGTGGCTGAGGCTGCTGCGCGTGACAGCATGGGTGCACCGCTTCGACCACAACAGCCGTGCCAAGACGGATCGACGATCGGGGCCACTGACTGTTCACGAGCTGCGTGACGCTGAACATGTCTGGCTCTGCAACGCCCCGGCAGAACAGTTCGGACCCGAAATCGCAGCTCTGCAACAAGGAAGACGACTACCAACCGGCAGCTATCTCCACCAGCTAGCGCCCTTCATGGACTCGAGCGGCCTGCTGAGAGTCGGAGGGCGACTGCGTCATTCCCAGCTCGACTACGAAGCCAAGCATCAGGTAATACTACCTGCGAAGGGAGACGCCACACGGCTGCTCGTCACTGACCATCACAAGAAGCTCGCACACACGGGTGCCGAACACGTCCTGACTCACATCCGGCAGCAGTTCTGGGTCATCTGTGGCCGGGCGGCCGTAAAGCGATACACCCGCGCCTGTATGGTGTGTCGCAAACGGTCAGCTCGGCCAATGCCACCACTGATAGGCGACCTGCCAGCCTTCCACGTGGGTGACCCGGCCCCAGCGTTCACTAGAGTGGGCGTGTACTTCTTCGGACCCTTGGCGGTGAAGAGACAGCGTAAAAGGGAGAAGATATATGGCTGTCTGTTCGCCTGCCTGTCCACCCGAGCAGTCCACATCGAGCTGGCTCACTCACTGGACGCCGGCTCATTCATCATGGCGATGAGACGCATGATGGCGAGACGCGGCAAGACCAAGCTGGTTTGCTCGGACAACGGGACAAATCTCCGAGCCGGTGAGCGCGAGCTGCGCCAGTCGCTGCAGCAGTGGAACCAGGCCAAGATCGCTGACACGCTGTCACAAGAAGGCGTGGAGTGGAAGTTTAACCCTCCGGCTGCGCCCCATTTCGGCGGCGTGTTCGAGCGTCTGGTGCGCTCAGCTAAACGTGCCCTGTCGACCGTGCTGGGTGACAGGGTTGTGGATGACGAGACGCTTCGGACGGCGGTCACCGAAGTCGGGGCGCTCCTCAACGGCCGACCGCTGACGCACGTCAGCACCGATCCCGACCACTATCAGCCATAACGCCGAACCACTTCCTCATCGGAAGGGCTTCTCTTCAGCTGCCTCCTGGCGTGTTCGAGGATGGTGACCTGTGCCGCCGACGGCGCTGGAAGCACACACAGGTGCTGCTAGATCACTTCTGGCGGCGCTGGCGGCGGGAGTATCTTCCTACGCTGACTACGAGAGCGAAGTGATGCAGAGACAAGGCCGACATCAAGGTCGGCGAACTCATGCTGTTGGCGGACGATAACGTGCCCCGTGGACACTGGCCAGTGGGACGAGTGGCCCGCGTGCTCCCTGGCCCAGACGGCCGGGTTCGCGTCGTGGACGTGACGACACCCGCCAGGCAATATAGGCGGCCTGTCACCCGCCTCTGCCGTCTTGAGCATGACGCAGACGAGCGCTGATGTGACGGGACGGTGACCGTGAGCGTCCCGCCTAATAAGTAGTTTATGGCGGTGCCGTGCGACACCGCCGCACAGTGACCATGTGCGCCGCGATACTGTAGTTGACGGCTTATGATGTTTGGGATACTGTCATTCTTCCCCGACGCGCGCCGCGAGCGTTCGCGTCGCAGCGTAGACGTAGCTATAGCCTTAGTTTATAGCCTCTCATTAGCTCTAGATGTAGCTGGTGCAAAAATGCTCGCCTCCCGCGGACGAACAGTGTCCGCTAGTTAGCTGTTGATGTTTGCAGTGTTGTTGGGATGACGTTATATTTATTCGGCATGTGTAGCGTTCATGACCTATAGTTTGCTCGCTTGTAGTTAGGATTTTCCGCGAATGGCGCGAAAAACCGGGCCGGCTATGTTAGCGAGCAAACGGGCCGTCGCTGCCGGCGTGGCGGCAGCGGATCCGCGAGGGTGTGAGCGGCCCCTCTGCCGATTGGTTCCCACCATCTAAGGCCCATAAATCCACCTGGGTTTATGGGGATACGCGGGCGGGGACGCACGGTCCCTGCCGAGCAGTCCACGTTCAGACTCCGCCGGCGCGGCTTAACGCGAGCCGCGACAGCGTTTACGACGACGACGACGACTTCGGAGTGTGCGACGCCGCCCTTCCAACCCCTCTCTCACCTTTGCCTTGCAACTCTTTGGCTAACAGAAACTCTTCCCTTTCAACGTCTCAGGTCGATGCTCCTCCGGAATACTAACGTCTCAGGTCGATGCTCCTCCGGAAGACTAACGAAGTCTTTCGCACGAACAGAACCAATGTTTCAAGAACTGGTGTTTCTAGATAATTTACTCACACAGATTCAACACCATTTGTCCTGACCCAAGCTAGAGCTTAGCTAAGAGCCCTGAGCTCTGCCACTGACATCATACAAGCATCCAAACAAGTGGATGGATGGGACTAATCGGGCTCTCCCCACTTTGACCCACCCAGCTTCCTGGCCTCTACTGCTGTTGCAGTAATACCAACATCACTCCAGCAGTTTGAATGTATGTATGCCATAAATTCTAGTCCTGAGCTTGGCTCAAACTTAGAGCCGATTTCAAGCTGCAATGAGCTGATGTTTTAAGGTATTATGATGTTGCAAAGGTAATTTCACACAATGCTGAGCATATTTTCACAAGAGCTGACACAAAGTTTAGTGCAATTTACCTGCTCCGAGTCATGCAGGCTCAAGCTCAATGTCCAACACGCCGATGCGGTTTAAATATGTGGCGCAGTGGATATATATCTGCAGACTGACCAACAAAAATCTTGCATCCGAGCATACTAAATCAAAACTCGCTAACAATTCCCGAGCCTGGTATTTCATAAGTTTCGGTTCAAAACATCACCTGTTTCTTAAGCATGCAAGATGTAAGAATTCCGCAAGCTCATTCGGTATGCTCACAACTCAGTTGGTATAAACTCACATATCTGGAACGGGACTTAAAGAAGTTTTTGTCCATCGCGAACGTAAAATCATCTTCCGAACCACACAGTCAAAACTCCTGAATGTGACTTATCTAATCCACGGTCCAGTACACTTCAACTCGCGGATCGTGGGCCGACGTTCGGATAATCTGAGGGAAATAGAAAAGGTCAGCTGACCAACGAAGGACATGGAACCCGGGCCCAGAGATCGGTGCTAAGTGAACGTCAGTTGTGTGCTAGACTTGAACAATTACCGGTACCTCCTTGTATTAGCATTTTTCACTTTTACAGAGTTGCAAACCAATTAGAAGGATTTAGTCGCAGCCCTCCCGGCCCGCCAGCGCAGCATGGATGGATGTACCATTTGTGTGGCAATCAGATCCCACTTTGTAAATAAGCTTATGGTTAGAAACTCCTGTTCGAAACTTGCATTGTGGTCCGCACGCTGCACAGAGTAGCCCAGATTCTTCGGGCTTTCGTGACTGTAAATTAGGTCCAAAAAGATGAGCAAAATAGACGAAATTTTCCTTTTCAACACATGCATACTCAATTCGGCGTGCCAGCGGTGTCCAGTTGCATCGATAGAACTGCACCTGGTCGCATGCGTGGTTTCATATCGGCCATATCCTAGCCTTAACCTGATAGTTAGGATCACAGTCAGTCTGGAAAATGATCAAAGCGGATTGCCGCGTTTTCCACACTTATAGCATCAGACCTGGAGCAACGTTACGCCATGTTTTCAGGCCGCTTGAAGGGTTTTTTGGAAGCGTAGAAAGTGAAACGCCTTTCTTGTGCCGTGCCACTCTTGCACGAGTCACTGCACGCATATATTTTTTTTCGCACATGCGTATCCTAGCAACCGCTGTCAGCGGTGTTACAAATAGTGCTGAGCGAAATGGCCTAGCTGCTGATGTTCTGGCGAAAACGTTTTGTCCTACCAAATATCAGAGGTGATGCAAAATACATCTATAATATAGTTTTGTATATACATTTATATTTGCTGCAGCTCAACAACTAGCTTTCAAGAACAACGAGAAAAAAGGTTTTGGAGCAGGAAAGCTGAGACCACTAAAACCTACATTGTCGAGCATATATTGAATGAAAGCAATGGAAATGCAGCGAAACTTCCCCAAATATTTTGCGTTTGCCTCTTCACATGATTTCTAAGCATTCTTTTTTGTAAGTAGTTTGGACGTCAACAAAGCCGTCCAACGTCCATAAATCGCCACGTGGTCCAGGGCCTTAAGATCGCATTTCGT